TATCTTGTTTTCTTTAAAATCAAAACAACTACAAATTCGGCAATATTATAATAAGTGTTGATATCATTTTGATTTTTATCGAATCTTTCTACAAAGTGGAAATTTGCAGAGAATCCACAAAGCAACCCACTATTGTCAAATGCAAATAAAAAGGCGTAGTTCAGGCAAAAAAATTATCTGAAGCTACTAGAGTTCGTAACTAATTACTACTAACGTTTATTTGAGTCATATCAAACCTTTGTTAGAAAACTCACATAATGGATCAGAAAATCAAGGCTATACAAGACTCAAAAAATTTAGAATTAAATCGCATGTACTGCATATTTCTCGACTTCACTCATTTGCACTTGATGATGATTCCGCAAAACAGCAGAAAGTTGCATTAAATCCCTTTGATGCTTTTCTATCGACAAATTCTCGGCAGAAGTGGTGATTGTAAAGTGCAAGGCAAATAAACCCTGTGCATTGTATGCAGTAACCGTGCTTTTACAGTTTCTAACAGAGATAGATATCTAGACTTTTCTAGAAAAACCTAGACAGTGTCTCGTCTTGGATAAACCTGATGGGGTTATTTTAAGTGTTTTAGATCGGTACAGCTGGTGTAACATGATAGCATCGACACGCATGCTGATATGTTTGCAATAAAACGAGGGCGCCTTTTAGTGGCCATGTATACACACACACGCACAAACACACATGAGCCAAACCCAACCACATCGCAACACATGAAGGTGTTATTACGATGATTGCAATCACCACAAGAGGTCACTGCATGTGTAGACCTAATAAAACATGTTTGAAGTCATCGCGATCCACGCTGCGGTGACCACTTCAGTCATCAGCCTTCCCTCCCTTGTCCTAAGCATTACGATTGTCCATCTCTTCGTGCATCCATCAATGAATCAATTTTTTCCTTTTAGCTTGCTCCAAGTTCCAGAGCCTTCCACCTTTCTTTGGAAACAGCCTCAAATCCGATCCGGGTTTGATAATCGTTATGTTCGAGACCATGAGCATGGCTTTGCTGGGTTGTCATGCTATTCCAACACGAATCAAGATCCTTTTGGATCGGATTTGGTCATCTAGTCGTCTTCAAGTAGATTTAACTCAGTTCCTCCTCTCTTTTGGTTGGACCCTTCAAGATTACACACGCGGATATATGTTGACCGTGAGTTACTTCTACAGAATAAAACCAGGAAGTATTAGTTTCTAACCCCTTTTTTTAAAGGATCACAAGGGTCAACTGCGTGATCGATGGGTAAGTTGCCGTGTAGAAGAGGAGGCTCTCATAATTCAACAGTTTCTGCGCTTCCTTGAGACTCGCCACCTTGCCCACGATATGCTTGCCAGTCTGGAAGCCGAGAAGTCGGCAATTTCAACTGAACCCAGCACTCTACCCACGGCAGACTATCTTCTTGGCCCTCTGCCACAGAGCATCGCCACGCAGCAGGAAGCAACAAAGAAAGAGGAGGCGGACGCGACAACAATTCCCCCTTTCTCTTCTCCAAGTTTAGCTTCCGAATTAAGTACTCGTTTCGTTGCGGCGATGGCGGCAGCAGCGCTGACTTCCAAAGTGTCCTTCCCAAAATTACCCGTCATGTCCCTGCCCTTACCACCTTTGCCATCCCCTGGGTGGTGTGGTAAGAGTGAGGGTGGACCACAAATTTCGGGAGAAATCGGGACGATTCCGGAGCTGACATTTCCTCCACCTGCGGCTCCACCACCGCCACCCACGCTACCAGCGTTCGCGGCTACAGCGATGGATGCCACTGACATTGCTGGCGGCGCCTTTAAAGTCAATGAGAGGAAGAAGTCGCTTACAGGTGAGTGGATAATAAGCATAAAATTATGCCAGTGTTTACATTATGGTTCATTGCTTTCCGCTATTGTGTTATAAACGGATAATATGGTTCAAGCCAAGGATGATGCATGAATGATTGTGGGAGCATGGACTTCAATTTATGGACAATCCCAAAACTCCATGAATCGCGACATTCAAAGAAGTTAAAAGCAGCTTACGAAATAAGTTGGCACAATCTCAATAAATTTTACACTTAGGTAACACAGTGCATTACTGTAATGTTCACAAAGCGATAGTGCTGCGACCAGTGAGGATATTTAAATTTTAAAGTGTTTGGAATGCTAGTAATTTTTCAAATGCTAGAAACCATAAGAAAATTTGAAATAGAGAGTCTCTTATTTAGCCTGCTATTCGATAAACACGTTTCTTTCGAAAAATCCATTTATATTTTTATTAGACTTCAAAGCTGATATGATAAATTTTAACAATTTTAACAATTTTTCGTAAAACAATCCACAAACAAATATATAAGTGTCAAAAGGTAGAATTACAAAAAAGGTCGCAACAGAAGAACTAGGGTATACATCTGTATCAACTTTTCCTGTGTTCGTTCGATAAGAGTGGCTATCTTTACCATCTTAAGGCCTCTTTGACATATGGAACACACCATTTGCCGGCTTATCGGACATCAAAACGACGCATGCAGATCGCAAGACGGAGGTAATATCGGGTCTTGAATATGCAGCTGACTTCTCTAACACGTCCACCACTCCCACCTCTACTACTAGCATAGGAGGCAAACAGCAAAGGTCTACCCGCCCAACGTCAAACAGGAAGGCACCAGCTTCGGAGAACAAGCGACAACACAACAACGGGAGTCATTTTGTTTTTGGCGAGTGCAAACAGGATACAAAACAAGCAACAAATGGGGCTTCGGTAGTGCCAACGCCAGCAGCAGCAGCTTTAATTTTGACTGGACGAAACAAGAAACGCGTTCTTTGCACTACCTGCAAAAAGTCATTCTGTGACAAGGGTAAAGGAAAAAATTTTACTACTGAATAGTATTTAGGTAGTTAGTTTTCGACAATTTAAAAGAATTGTATGCTGGTTTAGGAGCACTGAAAATCCACTATAGTGCAGTACACTTGAGAGAGATGCACAAATGCACCATCAAGGGCTGCAACATGTGGTTCAGCTCAAGGCGAAGTCGAAACAGGCATTCCGCCAATCCAAATCCTCGACTCCACATGACGCATTCAGGGAAGAAGTTGCCGGACAATGCCACTATCGTGGATGATGGAAGTGGTGAGTTGCCAACAGCACATTTATGAGCAAAATAAATTTTTTACAGAATACAAGACTAGTGATGAGTAATAAGCTGACATATCTAAATCGGTTAGAGTAGTCGCAATTTCCTAGCACTGTAGCAAACTATATACGTTTGAAATTTAAACTCCTGTTTCATTGGATTATACTTGTGAAAAAGATGACTCAATGCATAATTCTACATATTTTCAATTTGTTATTTCAAGTTTTCAAATTTAACATAGTTAGCTAGGCAAGGGACTTGTACTGAAGGTAATTACAGTAGGCTTTGCTAATATTTTAGAACAAAGAATGTTTTAACCTTTAGTACCGGTACCAATAATACGGCAGTGTGACACTTAAGCAGATTTATTGTGAGATGCATCTCATTCAAAAATTTGGAGGCTTTTAAATAAGCGCATCGGAAATGGTCAAGACAATGCATTCACGATGGAAATTATTTGAACAGTCTGGATGACAACATAATGATTCTTACCAATGCTATGGCAATTTAAAAGGTAATTTTGACACAAAACAACTTTTCGTTGTTACAGCCAAAATGGGACGTGGACATCAAAGAAAATATTTGTGATCCGTAAAAAAACCTCACACACGTTTCTGGAAGCAGAACAGACTATTCGCACTTACCTTGATACAAGTGTTATTGATTAGCCGTTCACCTCTTGCAAGCGCATCGTATCATGCCTAATTTCCACTCATTTGGCTGGTTTTTAAATTTTTCAATTCTCAGAACCTTTTTGTTTTGCTTTCATTAGGGCAAGGAGTATTCCAACGCAGTCAAATGCCAAGTACAGTGCTAAATCCACCTATTCTCTCATCTTTCATAAAGAATAGCCCTGTGTCGGCAACGACAATAACAACGTCAGCTAGTACGCCTACAGCACCAACGTCCCCCTCCAGCACCCCATTGAACCTCTCTGACCCCTCACTTCACCTTCCGGCAGAGGCGTGCCAGATTCCCGAAGTCTCGCGTCGGCAGACCTCTGTGTCTAGTGACGAGGGGGGTGATGAAGGCATCTATATCTCCGAGAGAGGAGAAATGGAGGATGAGGAGGAAGGGGATGGTGAAGATGCGTCGGAGGGTGAATCGATGGCGGTTGGTCACGCTAATCATCGCTCACCAGCCACCGAATTTTCTGCTTCCAATCTTGCCCAGTCATCACCCTCACCTCCCTCCTCCCTCCATTTTGGGGGTTCACCGCAGCGGAGTGAGGAGAGCAAACCAACTGGTGGTGTACTAATGGCATAGATCCATCCCGCCCCATCCAGTCCCACCGTACCTTCTCCTCCCATGATCGCCATTCTCTTCGCCCACCAAATATGCATTTAACGCCGCGTTACTTACTGTGTATAATAGACGCTACGTTTATCTGTTTAAATGAAGACATGACGCAAGCGAAATTTAATTTGGACTTATACCTCCATAGTGCAAGTTACTATTTCAGGGAAGAAAACTATAGTGGTAAAGACTGGCACTTTTACAGCAAATGTGCAACCATTTGCATGGAAAAAACCCGCATATAAGTGGGTGGTTTTGGCACGGCAACAATCAGATCAAGCACCAATTCAATGCACTTTAACAATTAATAACTCAAGTATCAAGACTATACACCGAAGTGAAAGTAATGTAAAACATAGTTGACTGAGTTAACGAATTCCAAACCTTGCAGTCGCTGATATTTTGAAGCAAAAAATAATTTTATTCGCGTGTAGCATAAGGTTTTGTGTAAAAAGTGTTTCACTTAGGGGTAAAAAAGATCATTTAAGTGTTTTAACAAAATGGGAATTGCGGACAGTAACGCTTTGAAGTGTGTTGTGCTTTGGACTTCTTTGGCGGCGTAAAGGACATTTGCGTTGCATCAAGTCGGGTCATGAAAGGTGCCGCCTTCAGTAAGCACCAGATGTGAGTTCCTATCATCTCTCTCAAATCCAAATAAATTTTCAGTCTGTGAGAATGATTGTTCCCAACGTCTTGGTGCCATTAATACAATTATGCATTTCGGTATGAAGTTAGATTGTCGGTCGTGGTATCGTTACCGAGAGCCAACTGCATGTTTACTTTGCCATTCTCTTGAGAATTAATTGGCTACAACTGCCTAAAATCCCGACCATACGCTGATTCCATGTTGGCACTTAGCGGTCGTGGACCAATTTGCTCCCGTGCGTGTCGATACTTTGCAGTACCTTGTCATTTGCCACCCACTTTATTCTGAACGGGTGCACCAAAAACTTGCCCAGTTGCGGTTTGTGAGTACGACTGTCAACTTGGATTCTAAGGCCTAGCAACGTGTTAGAAAAAATAAACCTACTTTATTCACTTCTCGCCTTCACTTTTCCCAACAAAATACATATACGGCAAAACGATTTCACTTGCAGCAAAGGCCGAAAAATTTCTGTAAAAGGCTTTAATTTGCTCAAATTTCAAAGAAATCAGCATTCATGCAAAACTTTGCTGAGCCACACCTAACATACCCTCATTTTTCTGACCTCCATTTTTGGGAATGATTTATATTTTCAAATGCGTATATAAACCCACCCATTCGGTCTGGCCTAAATTGCAAAAAGTTGGCGAAATGCAGTTCAGCGGAGTCACATTTTTGCTCACTTGTACTTATGCCATTGCTACAGCCAATTCGTTGTACGAAGGCATGAGTCCTGAATTTGAAATGCCGGGCGGATTTTACATGAGGGAAATGGACCCTTATGAACAGGATTTTGGAGAAGATGAGGATATCGATGATCAAAATGGGTGGATGGTTGTAAATGAAGGCGATATCACACAACTTCTAAATCAGATCCAGGAGGCCGAACTAAAGGAAGATGAGGAGGAATTCAAAAAGGAAAACCTTAGTTCCCAACTTATTCCCCAGATGCATGAGAACATTGCTACTGAAAAACTTACAGCAGAAACATTGGATAAAGGGGATACAGACCATGTTCTCACCACTGACACCCTGGCGTCGTCCAAGCTCACTAATTTTTGGACAGCCGAATCTGTAATAGAGGACACAACCAAAAATGGAGCTGCTAATAAGTCAGCGTACGAAGAGGACCTCGCAGATTCTGTGATAACCACGAGCACAGTTAGTATCACCACCTCTACAACAGCTGCTACCAGGGAAGAAGGAACTGCACCAAGCCTTAACTCTATGGAAACAAACTTGAGTACTGATGAGAATTTTGATGGGATGACTCCTGATTTCTAATAGCCAGTAACGGTGAAGTGAATAATTTTATATTCCTATAATGTTATTAAACAATACGAATCTTATTTTCAAGACTATACAACATTGGTAACAATTGTTGTAAATTTTAATCCAGTTCTTTGCGGAGTTTATGTAATAATGGCATTTCAGAACTATGCACCGCGATCCGTATAATAACTTTGCATTTCCAGATGACTGGTTTGTTTCATCCATACATCACATCACTTTACCTTCTAGCAAAGCAAAGGTAGCGAAAAATTTTTATCTCTGCGCATACAGCCATTGCAAACGTGTCTGATGTAGTTGCATCTCAGAAGCTTAAAGAACGGCCTTTTTAGCGTGTGACCAAGTTTGTAATAACATCCGAACACTTAGCCATACCACTTTTGTGAACGCACCAGGCACTTAATGCTGAATAAGGTGGATTGATTTCATTATCACCGGCTCAGCACCAGAAGGTACTTCTCTCCTTTGCAACATCAAAGTGTTCTCAAAATAACCTTTCTAAGGTTTCATTTTAACGCCCAAGTACTGCCTTAGGGTTGAAAGGAGTTGCTAAGAGCGGAAGGACTACCATTATGACCCGCAGGTTCGGTCATCGAAGGAATGCACAATGGCGGAGCGTTAATACGATTATTTAGCCAAAATCAAGAATTGGACGGACAACTAGCGTATCGTATCAACGGTGACCAACGGTGGCACCAAACCATTAGTGGAACACACTTCTCTGCATGCTTGTGAACTGTGGAGCTGCCTGTGAGACAGCCAAAATGTTGGGCCAAATGAAGTCTTCTAAGCAGCAGATGTAACCTGGTTTAGACGATGACTTTTGATATGTTATTTCCTATGCTAAAGCGCCATTGTAATAATGAAGTATCCAGTTATGCTTAAAACGCATATTAGCATAAAGTTAATTGTCATTTTGGTGTACTAAAGTTTAACAAAAGTGTTGTTTAACTTGATTCTTTATTCAAGTACTCTTAAAATAGGATTCCGTTAAACTATTTTTACATTCGAAGATAATCTACTGATCGGCAAGTAATTATGGTTTCCAGTTTTATGCACAAGAGTCGTATTGCATTGTAAAATCACTTAAACTTTAATCATTGAAGTGCATTTGAATAACCAACAAAACAAAACATTTTGGGAAAGATTCGGAAAATCGTTATCATTGGCAAAAAGTGTTTGGTTGAATGCGCTTTTTCAGCGAATCCTAAAAGCGTGATGGCACAAATGTCACTACCTACCAAGCATAAGCCGTATCACTGCCCTTTACTCCTCCCATTTCAAAGGAATGAACTCCGAGGTCGAAGCTGTTACAGCCACTGAACTTCAATTTCTTTCACAGTCGACTTGAACACTACTGTATGATTTGAAATGGTCAGAACAGTTTAGGCCACTGAATTGGAAAACACTGCATTTCTCTAGCTAACTCATTGTTAATAGGGGAGAAGAGACACCTATCAGGAGCTCTTTCTACTACTACTGCCTCAAGAACATCCAAATCCTAGTGTAATAAGCAATTTACAACCAGAGTGGATAAATGGAGCACTCGTATCCTTATGGTCGAGAGGTATCCATGTTCGACATCGACTCCCATTGCGAGCCAACAAAATTGGCAACGAAGAAACGCCGGGTTTGCACTGACAACAAAAATCTGCAACCAAATTACCTACTGTCATATTAAGTTTTTAAAGTTTCAAGTTGGAATTAGGCAAGTCATTTTTCCTTTGCTTTCATTATTACAGACCTCAGAGAATTAAAAGGGCGACCATGAAATATTCGCATTCATTCTGAAAGCTACTAGGTCATTTTCGAACTTTGAGATCTTCTTTTTGCAAATTAAGAAACCACGATCGCTAGTTGAAAGAAAGTGTCGTTAAATGATAACTTGGGCAAGGGAACTTGAGCAGAGAAAATTTTGACCGTGAATGGTTCAGAAGCTGCTTCGCCATACCAAATTTCTATGTGACACTAACGATAACAACATTTTTTCTAAAGGCACTTTCTCCATCTACCAAAACATTAACACTACTACTGCTTCTTCCAAACAAAAGGAAACTGTTTGCGATTCATGTCAAATCTTATTTTGGATCCATAGCTATGGACAACACGGGCGTATGGATTACTATGCATTGACAAGGAGGAGAAAGGAATTCGAGTGCTACTGGCTTTACACACAAATGTGTTTTCTCAACAAGATGTAAATAATAGCAGGTGTGAATGGAGGGTTACCGATTTGGCAACCATAAGGACGCATTTTGCCTGTTAAGAGAGAGATAATCAGTGACAAGGTCAACATCCTACCAAAGTCATTGTGGGCCTCCCCGACTGGTGTGGTAAAGAAGAACATCTGACGACAACAACTAGGCATCGACTACAGGGAAATAAATGTGGCAGCAAAGACGGATTAAAAATTACGCCCTAGCATCAGCCATTCCGAGATTCTTTGTCTGCAGAAACAGCCAAATAGAAGACAGAATTCATAGAAGTGGAAAGGCAAAATCCGCTAATATCTACGCCTATTTTAAGTCACCTGAATGACGTCCTCGCCTTCTAAAGCATTCTAAAATTAGTGCTCGATCACCCACAAGGCTGAGAACCAAAGTTTGACCCCAAAAATGTTGATTTTTGCAATGCTAAAGCAATGTAGCAGGACACATAAACTCTCCAGGTACAAAAAAATATGTAAAGATAACTTTTATTGGCATAAAGAGTACAATAAAGCGTCCATAGGGAAGAGTATAATACTCTGCTCTGCGTGGCCTTAGCATGACCAAACGTTTAAGCGACAATAAAAGAAGACCACGTAAATTCATGCACAAGTACCAAGATTTGTTGCTACACAATATATTTCAATGTGAGGCAACAAATCAGGTTTCATTAACCATCATTGAAGTTTGTAATGGGAAGAGGTAATCAAGCCGTGAAGGCGACAGACCCAAGAGGATCACAACAGTACGATTTTCACTGCATACGTAGTAGTGAAGAAGACCTACCTTGCAGACTAATTCTAAAAGACGGAAGTGGTTTTTGTTGTGCTTATGATATGGAAGTTTCTTATTCGCTTTTATGGAACCACAGTAAAGGAGAGGGCTTCGTAGACTGGCAGTGCCAGTACGATTAGGCAGGAATTTTCGGCACTTTTCGGGAAGATGTTAGATTTGATAAGGCCTTGTCATTATTAGTCATATCGGTACACAAGATTCCATAGATTACTTGAGCGATTGCGATGGGTTAGATGGTGCAAGCAAAAGGCTTCATCTAACAGTGACTTGAAGATTGCATTGTAAGAAGGCGGTCAAACCTCTCACTAACTACTTAAGCGAAGCAGCACGCCTGAAAACACATGATGCTGTGATTAACGCTTCAGTTTTCAATTCCAACTTAAAGCGGTGCAAAGCAATAGATGTGCAAATGTAGGAAGAGTACTCCATGTGCACACCCACACAAAGGTGTCGGAAGCAGCAAAAGTCCAAAGTCAACTATTTTCGACACATAACTTAGCGAAAAAGAAGTTTGATACATACGAACTTCGTTGAATACGAACCAGAAGTATCTCACAACCTGTAGGATGAGCTAGGCAGTGTATGCAGTATCAACATTTCCTGCCATGAAAATACTTAAAAACTTGAGCTTTTACGGGAACCAAATTTTATCAAAGACAACTTAATATACATAAGAAAGTCACATTTAATTAGTTAACCTTTATAAGGCCTCAAGAACCTTCAAAAGAGTTTCTTTATTTGAGAATTCTGAGCTTTCCATCCCAATCTATGTTACGACTGTGTTGTGCGAACAGCCAACATTGGATTGAAATAGACGTAGATTTTGTAGCAGCTGCACCAAAGCCAGATTGAAGTGTGACCTTGACGATGGCACCGGTGCCAACAATGGCTGGAACAAGTGCATTGCAAGCAAATCGTGAAATGTAATTTTCGCAGAAGAGTTGCAATCGGGCATGTTGAGTTAGTAAAAGTATACCATCATTGATAGACCAAAGGCACCAACGCAATAAGCACAGGATGTACACAAACCAACAGGCAGGTAATAAGGAGAAGTTGGAGACGATAAATCCGGTTTTGATGGTACGATTTGATCATGATCCCGTTTAGACACGACAAACCCCACGTACATACGTGCATGTGCGAGCAAGAGACGCGAAGCTAGCAGGTTGGCCCTGGTATTTTGGTACTTAAATTAGCCTTCCAAACCGTTATTTTGGGTCCACTTCGTTGGTGCTAAAAGATCTGCAGATATGTGCTACGTAACGTCGCCCATTCATCTGACTGCCTTCTTTTGGCACCGATTAATAGGGTAAATGTGTGCACAATGGAATGATTTAGCTTGCGAAGGAAATAATTCGGGCAAATAGGCAAACTTAAACGGAAATTAAAACATTACTTTACATTTTGGCAAGGTGAAGCTTGAAATTTCACGATGAGCACTACTGCAGGCCTGCATACCTAAATGACTGACAGTGCTAACAATCTCCTCTTCTCTGTCCGAGCGTGTTTGTTAAACTAACTACAAGGATGTCCCGGTAAATTTACAACCATAAAGTTGCCATTTGTGTGTATTAATTCATGGAGTGCCTTGGTTTCCCTAGTTTATGCAAAAGGCATCCGTGCCTTCAAAATAAAAGTTACATAATTGTCTTTCCCCCTAAAGTTTAGGTGACGATTTAATTAGGCCTATGCCTAACTTCCCAAGAAGGAACCATCCGACCTTGTCATCAGATAGTGTTTTGCTTACATATACGCGCCACACTACAAAATGTTATAAACATGGAGAGGTATAATATGGTTAAAATCTTGACAAATTGCCATAACTTGACCTTTATGCAGTTACTTAGGTGTTTTAATGACGTCAGTTATCTCCCCACTTTTTGGCTGTTTTATATTTCCAACAGAGGAAAATTCACAGCTCCCAACGTCTTTAAAATGTATTACAACAACCACGATTAGAGGGAGTCAAGCTGATCTTTCTTTGGAAGCCAA